TTTTTTTTTTTTTTTTTTTTTCTTGGTTGGAAAAAGTGAGGTTGGTTTAATTGGCGTTGAAAGTGGAGGATTAGTTTGGAGATGCTTGTGGGAGAAGGATTCGACGTTAATTTTGGGTTAATTAAGGTTAATTTTATAGTCAATTTTTGGCTTCAGGAAAATTTTTGGGGAAAGTGATTCGATATTCAATGTGAATTTGGGAAAAGTAAATTTTCCACACTGTGGAAATTTTTAGAGCAGAAGATTCGATATTCAGTGCTCCTTTTAAAGTTAATTTTCCTCTTGAAGAAAATTTTGGGAGCAAAGGATTCGATATTCCATCTTAATTTTAAAATTAATTTTCCACTCTTGGGAAATTCTGGGAGAAATTGATTCGATATTCAGTGTTAATTTTCAAATTTGGGAAAAATTAATTTTCCACATTGTGGAAATTTTGGGAGAGAAGGATTTGATATTCGATGTTAATTTTCAAATTTGGGAGAAATTAATTTTCCACACTATGGAAATTTTGAGAGCGAATGATTCCATAATCAACGTTAATTTTAAAATTAATTTTCCTCTTGAAGAAAATTTTGGGAGCAAAGGATTCGATATTCGATCTTAATTTTAAAATTAATTTTCCGCTCTATAGAAATTTTGAGTGAAAATGATTCCATAGTCAACGTTACTTTTAAAATTAATTTTCCACTCTAGGAAAATTTTGAGAAACAAGGATTCGATATTCAATCTTAATTGAATAAATTAATTTTCCGCTCTATAGAAATTTTGAGTGCAAATAATTCCACAGTCAACGTTAATTTTAAAATTAATTTTCCGCTCTATAGAAATTTTGAGTGCAAATAATTCCACAGTCAACGTTACTTTTAAAATTAATTTTTTACTCCAGGATAATTTTGGGAAAAAAGGATTCGACATTTAACGTTACTTAATCTTCAACTCCAGGAAAATTTTAGGAGATAAAGGACCTTTATATTACTCTGTTGCAGGTTGTAAAATAATGGTGTTCGAGTTACTAGAATTTCGTAAAACATTACTCTTGTTTTCGCCCAACCAAATCATTCCCGGAAGTACCTACTCACCCTAGACAGTACCAGAAGGGAATAGTACAAAATAACTCGAACCGTTTGTGTTAGTACGTTTAAGTGTGTAACATAGGACTATTATCACTCGGTATGCACATGTGTGTACTTAGATCAAAGATACTTGTACATACTACATTATGTTACTTTATTTTTTTATACAATACACGTGTTTGACGAAAAACCTGCATATTCCTTCAACTGCCTGAAACCTCAATTATTCGCGAAATCGTTCATTTTTATCTTCAAAATTCACCAAATCGTGTTAAACATTTTTCTTAACGTACTTTTATTCGTATAACAGTAAGTGACAACAATAATTAACAAAGAATATATACAACAGTATTAACGAACAGTGAAAAAAAAAAATGGAATATTTTACAAATTTCACGGAGATGAAAATTTCGATCGGATGTTTCACCATTCTTCTACATGCTCGTGTCCATCGTCGCCACCGTCATCGTGCTTTATGTGGATCTTTTTCACGTGCGTGTGATGGTGTTTGTGAATCAACTCTGGCACGTGAATAACGAAATGCGTGCTGAAATTTGTCGAACGCGATAAAATATGATTTTCGAGTGAAGAATACAATCGATAATTGGTACCATTGATTGGTAAATAATTACTGTTCGTGGTGTCCGCCACCGGGAGAAGGCATCGAAGCTACCAGGGCAATAGACGCAACGAGAACGAAAAGGAAAACCTGGAAAAGAGACGCGAGATATGTTATTTTTAGAAAAAATTGCACAGGAAAGATTTTCAAGAGAGAAACTTGGAATAGAAGCTTGAGTAAAATATTGCAAAACGAGGCAAGAGAAGCACGTTAGTCGTGTTACGTTAGACGCTCCGGTGAAAGCATGTAGAACATCAGTCGGAACGTGTCATTAACTGTCGGCTCGGTGAAATTATCGAGTCGTCGGGACACGCCTTTTGTTGTTTCCAGTCTCGCGTTTATCATTCATCGCGCAGCCTTTCTTAACGATTCTTTAAGTGTCGCTGAGAGACAGGTGTAATTCAATTCGAAACTGAACCATTCTCGCGCTGCTTTGAAATGAAAATGAAAAGTCGGAACATTCCCGTTAACAAATCTACGAAAATTATTAAAATATTTACCAACAATTGGATAATTTTCCAGCGACTAGAAAAGCGAAAAATAATTTTCAAAATCCCAATTTACCCTTCGATCTGTCTACAGAAACTGTAAAAATATTCGCGAAATATCGGATTATTTGCGAAGGTGGAAAAAAGTTAAAATATTCACTGTTCTTAAAATTCACTTTTACGTTGATTTGTTTTCTGTTTGATTTACGAAAACACGAAATTCATGTCGAACTAAATAAATCACCGAGCGAAGTGGAGAAAGATCGACACCCACGTGTGCTGGTAGTTTCGCCATGACTGGTTCGAGTTGTCCGATTCGAGAGCTGTGATCCAAGTGTATTCCGAGACTGCTGGGAACTAAAAGCCGGAATCCTGGCGAGCCTTATAAACGGAAGCATAATCAGTGAACGGTACAGGAACGAGGAACGTAGTTCCTGTAGGTAACCCCACCTAACCCCCTATTCACTCTCACCTGGGATTACGTGAAATTTCACGTCCACCTTCGATACATTGTCGTAGGCACCTTACTGTACGTCGTGTGAAAGGGATCGCGTTATAGGTAATTACACTGGAATGTTCTTCGCGAAGGAATTAAGTTGTAGCTGATGTTTCTGAGGAAGTATTTCGATGTTTGTTTGGTAGGAAAAGAGAAATTTTTTTGAATAATTGTTATATGGAGAATGAAGGAGAATTGTGATTGGGGATGTAGAAGTTTGACTGGTCGAACTATTCGAATAATTCGAATATGAGTACTTTTTGCGGATAATACGGAGAATTCGAATATTCGGAGTGTTTGAATTTCGGATTATAAGGAATATTGCATAAAGGATAATTTTGAATAAAATTCTTTATTCGGATAATTCGAATATTTGGAGCGTTTGAATTTCGGATTATGGCGAATATTTCACAAAGGATCATTTCGGTTATTCGGAGAATTCGAATATTTAAAGTGTTTGAATTTCGGATTATGGCGAATATTTCACAAAGGATCATTTCGAATAAAATTCTTTATTCGGAGAATTCGAATATTTGGAGCGTTTGAATTTCGGATTATGGCGAATATTTCACAAAGGATCATTTCGAATAAAATTCTTTATTCGGAGAATTCGGAGTGTTTGAATTCAAGATCGTGCCGAGTATTGGCACAAAGAATACTTTCGAATACGAATTCTTTATTTGATAATTTGAATAATTCGAATATTCGAAGCGTTTGAAGTGCGGATCGTGTCGAATATTTCCTAAATTTCGAATATTCGAATATTCCACAAAGAATAATTTCGAATAAAATTCTTTATTCGGATAATTCGAAGCGTTTGAATTCAAGATCCTGCCGAATATTTGCGCGAAGAATAATTTCGAATACGAATTCTTTATTTGAATAACTCCAATATTCGAAGTGTTTGATTTTCCGATCGTGTCGAATATTTCCTACACAAATGATCATTATTTGAAGGATATGTAGTATAATTGAAAATAATTTGAAAGAGAAAAATATCGAAATAGACAATTGTCAAATATCCAAAAAATCTAATTATTAAATCGAGCTCTTAGAACACGGTAGTTTCTGGAACACTATGATTTCACTCAACTATACTTACCAAAACAATACTCATCACTTATCCCACTCGTTATCGTAATCTTAATTACAATTCTACCCGTTGTTTATGCTAAACATATCATTAAATCACCTTCCTTTCAACACATTTTTTCCATTATACACATTATCCTAATCTGCAAAGTTAAAACCTAGCATTTTCTCAGAAAATTGTCTACAATCGCACCCTGCTCATCGAACCGTCCACGCGTATTCTCGCTGATTACAGTTTACCAAACTTTTGTTCAATGAATCGATAGAAAGTTTTAAACGAACTTGATCGCCTCTCGTACGGTGTCTCGCCTTGACGATTTTCGCCGAGAAAAAGGTGAAATAGCCCTTCGAAAGTGTTCGATCTTTCTGGAACCCGCTTGTCACTTTCTCTGTCTTCTGTTACTGCAACGAGAGTCATAACGCATTGTCGTAACGCCGCTATTCACATCTCCATCGTGAACGTGGAGTTACACGTTCTTTTCGGCGATAAAACGTTTGCAGGAAAGTACTTTTCGACACGCGAAACGTGCCAATTCCGATCGAGTGAAATTTCAAACGGAACAACCTCCGGATCGAAGTTACGCGATTCGACTTCTTCTACGCCAATGAGACGAGGAAAGTAAACGGAGAATTACCTTCTTCCGCTGGACCACTTACGAGTTATGCTCTTTTTTTCGAGGCTTGTTATTTTACAAACGAACAACTTTTCATAGTAACCTTACGATGTTTTTAGCGATTTCACATGGAGAAACAGGAAGGTTGTGATAAGTTTGGAATGGATCGCAGGTTGTGTTGAATTGTTGGAAATGGTTGAATTGAAATTTGGTTGGACTTCTCTTCGTGGATCGTTAAATTTGTGGTATTTAGCAGCATGTTTAATTGGTTCGGCAGGTAGCATGGAATTTCAGGTATAATAGTCGACATTGCGATCGGAGTGTAGAAAGTTTCATTTTCATTTAAACGGAACGTGGCCAATTAAAAGGATTGCTTTATTTTTCCAACTTCCGTTGAAGAAGTATCTCCTTATAACGAGTTAAAGATCCGCGATTTTCGTTTACACTCGTTGGATCGTTATGTAAATGATCGTTTTTCTTGGCGAATAGGTATATATGTAGATAGCATTGATTGTTTTTACATCATAACGATCCTCGTTGGATTTAACTTCTTCGATCGCTACGTTTTCTACTTTCGAGTCTTTCACCTTGCTATCGCGATGGTGTTACTGGTTGCTACATTGTAGTGTAATTAAATGTAGCTGATTCAATCGAGACTTAACGGTGCTTAGTCATTATTAACAGACAATTAAACTTATTAAAAGCTTTTCGACACTGAATTTTTTAATTCGAACGTTT